GACTATCTGCCCTAGTCTGAAGCTCGTATATCCCCCACGAAGCCAAGATAAATTCTACGAGCTAACTAGCTCTTCGCGAAGAGAACGGTGTGCCCGCTCATTTTTGAGCTGGGAACTAGTAAAATCTGATCGAACCTTTACCGTTGCGACGAGGGGCGGTTCACCTTATCGACCAGAATCAGAATTCTGCTCCTCTCGTACTCGATGCCCTTGCGCAACATAAACGTAACGTGCTCAATCTGGCTAACAGTACCATGCTGGACCTGCATATACGTCCAAGAACGCTTTACTCCTCCAACTCATTCATTGATTGATGCGCGCGATGGCTAAAGCTATCTCGTAAACGGAATTTTATAACCCCGCAATGTGAAGGGACGCTGAACATATTATCATGTCCGGTGGAGCTGGTATCCACCCTCGAAATATACGTGGGAACCTCGCTTCAAGCTGCTAATTGATGTTTTTGGCCTCTTCAAGTCGTATGACAAGACGCATTCGATGACGAAAGCGACGCATCGGAGAACAAACCCCCAGCGCGCTTTTAAAAAGATTGCAAATCAGCAACCTCCTCGTACATTTCTTAAGTGAAAAGTTCCTTCCACCAGGCGTAAGTAATATAGTAGGCTTGTGTGGTGGAGTGTGTTGTCAATACTGTTTGACGAGATCCTAAACCACTCACTGTGCCGGACTGCCAACTGTCGAAGGGGGTACCCCGATGCCGCTTGTGGACCTTGAATCACCTTGTATACACGTCTGCTTGGCGTGTTTCAATCTTCGTAGGACTTGTTGTTGATGATGCAGAAATCGGCCAAGATGGAGGTCGACCTGGGGGGGGGCGAGCAAAAATGCTTCATGCGGGGTCCTATGTAGGCGGCCACTCGATCGACTTAATCGAGAGTGGTCTTATAACCAGTTGTCGCAGGTGCCGTTGGCGCCTAACCTTTACTTGTCTCAAAGATGTTAACTACCTGTCCTTTGCGCTTCTTCTCCCTTACCACTAGGGTGTGGAGACCACATCCTACAGCAGGCTTGAGTTTGGGTTTTATGCTCTACGAACCCACAGGCCAATGTAATTCCTGGGATTTTACTTACACTTGAGTCTTACTAACAACTGTCTATTCGACGAGTGGGCCAAACAGTTTCCTGGACCGGAACAAGTCGGTAGACATTTAAATTTCTTAGCGCACGACATGTCGTGCTATTTCACTCGCAAATTGAGTAGCATTTAATATTGTCCTATCAATAAGAATACATCAACATATCTTCGCCTGAAACCTGGGTTCTCTATGATGAGTGGCCAGGAGCCACCAGACCTTGAGGGGCCAAGTCTACCAATAGGTGACAAGATCGGCCGATGAGTGGCCAGTTGGTCTACGGGTGACCGAGGCCCACCTTGGGCGACCAGGCCGGCCGACGAGTGGTTGGGAACAATCTATATCGGTACCTTTTAATCTGTACCGTCGGTCGGTATGACCCCTTCAGTGGTAATTAAAAAGGCTCGTGATGGCTGGACCCAACGAACAATCTTTTATTGTGACCTCCAGGTCTCCGGTCCTTTTCCCGCCCGCGGGGTCCAATTTCCGTCCGGCTCATCAACCATTAAATTTATCATTTCTCGAAAACACGCTTAACCACAGCTTCTGTAAAGTAAATTTGCATATGTACGGATTCATCGGCAGCAAAGACTGCGTGGTGGTTGAACTGATCGCCCTAGGTAGTTGGATAGGTTTTTTGTGGTGGTAACACAAGAGGGGTGCTCCAGAAGGCCTAAACTACATTCGCTTGATTTCCTTGTCTTTTCTTTTATCTGCATACGACTCATCAGTGACACAGTACGACGAAACAAATAGAAATTGTTCTTCTTTTTGACTTTAAAAGTGGTCGAGAATTTGAGATCAGTGGAGTCATTATAATCGGTCATTGGGATCAGCGCTTTCATAGTGATAGATTGGCTGCGTCCACCTGATCCAGGTTGCGGTCAAGCAAATTTGTTCATCGAACGCGCCCGGTAACAATCCTGCACTCTGTTGCAATTAAGTGAAACTTTGAATTACTCTAATTTATTTGTAATAGCTCGTGGTGCCATTTAATGATCTCGGATCGGTCCAATCAACTTCAGGTATAACATAGTGAGCACTGGATCTGTTAAAAGTAGAATTTGAAGCTAGTTCCGGTGCAAACGGAGTTGTAGCTCATCCATCTAACAACTATTCAGGTTGACCTCTGATTTCCCGCTTGTTTAATGATTGTCACCCTCGGCGGTAGGTCATTGTAGGTTTTGAATTTTTTTTTGATCTAATTCCTTTAAATGAGATTATTTGAGACATAACACAAATTGCTGAAGGAAGACAAACGCGATCGAACTTGTCGTACTTTGCAGTACGATCCGCGTTATTACATTAGGAATTCTTAGGAGGAATTTTTTTTCCTTATACTACTATGGTGGAGTGGGTTTGCTCATTTTTGAGGCGATCCCGACTCTCCACTGGCGCCCAGACGACCGACTAACGGAGAGGGTACTACGATTTCGCTTGCACTTGTTTCCTCCTCACCTTGTGTACCCGTCGGCAGGGCGGGTTTCCAGGTGGACTCGACGAGATGCTAAACTTGACCGTTGTAGAGATTGGTGCTGATCGGGTGGAAAATCCTCACCCGATCGCGTGTTCTGGTTTGGCGCTCTCCTAGAGTCGCTGTAATCTGCTTTGATCACCTTATGCCAAAATGTGTACTTGAGTCGCGAGCCTTTCTGGCCACTTGAGCCGTCTCGCGATCTTGTACTTCAACCTATACGGTTTGCTGCGTCCGATCGCAGTAGGGGTGTATTGAGAGTCCTAGCACTCCTGGCCAAATAGCTCCAGAAGTGATCGTTCTATCCTTGATGTCGAAATTCTCAGACGTCGGGAGGCCAAAATATCCAACCCGGGAGAAGATCGACACGAATGTGTTTAGAAGCAAATTGAACTCTGTTTAATGTCAACCAATCAGACCCTCACAACTTACCCCTATAACTCATAAAATGAGATGCCACGCGTCGCCTCTACAGATCACCCCTTGTATCTATGTGGCACAGACCTGACACACCAACCGTCTGATCGCATCAGGGCATGGCCCACGCCAGATCGCATTCCCTCGATCGCGGCCCCTGATCGTGGTCCCCTGATCGTAGTTCGCTGATTGCATTCTCTCAATCGCAGTCCCCTGATGGCGGTCCCTTGATGGCGGTCCCTTGATCGCGGTCCCTTGATTGCGGTCTCTCAATCGCGGTCCCTTGATTGCGGTCCCTCAATCGCGGTCCCCTGATGGCGGTCCCTTGATCGCGGTCCCTTTTGCCGTTCTGAACCGTTCTGACTGGATGAGATACTTCCGTGAATAACCCCAATGGTGCCATCCATATTATTGGTCCTCGTCCCACAATTGTTCCGCTGGTTCCCACTTCGTACTTATGCATGCGTTTGAGGTTTTACGACACCGATCCTGATCGACTTTGCCACAATCGCCCCCTGCACAAATAGCCGATCTGCAACATCTGGCTCGCTTGTGCACGTTTTAGTAACGACTTTCCGTTTTATCCTCCTGTTGCCTTCCATGGTTTCCTTGTCGTCCACGCCCAGCTTGCCACCAACTAGTTGTGCGCCATCTCCCTCGGTAATGACGCAATCGGGTCCCGCACCTTTGGTCGATATTGACATTTTTCGCCACGCTAACACCCAACTGGCCCCGATTCCACTACAGACGCTGTTGAAGGTATCTACGGTAAGCGGAGGTCCGATCGGCCCTGCTTTGGGACTCGATGCTGCTGAGGACCTCGCTTCAAGTACGGAACCGATCGGCTCCACGTTGACGCCTGATGTTCTTGATACTTTCGCTGCAAGTGACGAGCCGATTGGGGTCGGAGAATCTGCTACAACCACTGGTCCGATGAGCTCCGCGTTGACGCTTGATGTCGTCGACAATTTGGCTGCAAGTGGCGACCCTATTGGGGCTATTCCGTTGCCGACCACTCGAGTTGAAACACCAACAGTTGATGAAACGACCGCGGTTGGTATAATCGCTGGACTTTATCAGCGGATCGCATCCCAGCATGATCTTGTGGATAGCTATCGCGATCTGGAAAAAGCGTTGCGGGAGCAAACTCGGAGGGGTGATTGACTAGAACGAGAACTCCGTTCTTTTACCGAGTCGGCCTCTCCTTTTGTGATCTTCGCTCAAACTCATTGTGATTGCCTTCGTCTGGATTTGAAAAATGCACTCGCTGAAGTCGCTTTGCTTCAGGAGACAATTTGCGCGGGGAGTTGCTACGAGCAGCAAATTAGCGACCTGAAGTCGAAACTTTTGAAAACGACCCGATCACTTCATACGTATAAAGAACGTCATTATCTTGAGCTGGCTTTCTTGCGACGGCACATGGATGAGGGGAACGCTCGATTTTCAAGCCGTACTCTTGAAGGCCAAATCTAAGAAAGCCAAGTACAAGGCAGACTGGACCAAGGCTCAGACCGCGGTTCGCCACCTGCATACTACTTTTGCCGCTGTATCAGTGGAGCGCGATCAACTTCGGGATGATCTGGCTGAGTTGAAAGCTGAGTATGACCGATCGCGCCCCTAGATCTCCGATCGTGACGATCGGGTGGGTCTTCTTCAAGCTCCTATTTCGGGTTTGGAGCTAGAGCGCGATCAGGCGTTGCGCGATCGCGACGTTCTTCGAACGAGCATTGCCGCGCTCGTTACCGGTCCCAGTTTACCTTCCTCGTCCCGTCCAGTTGAGACGTCCCCATCTACGAGTGCTCGTGTCAAACGCCCTAGTACTTCCGCTCTAACTCCTCCTTCGCGGACCAAGAGAGCCAGAATCGAGGCTACCTCGCAGTCGGTCGTCAAGATGACACCCAAGACTCATTCTCCGACTGCGTCCGGTATCATCGCCGAGCCTTCTCCGCCGTGTAAAACCCCGAGGAACAACCCCTCCCGATCACCCCACAGTTCCACACGATATCAAGCAAAACTTACGCCAAGACTCCTGCTCTTCCCGGACCTGGTGTTCGAAAAGGCAAAGGCAGAGCGCGCAATCCGACGCCTGCTTTATCTAGCTCGGATGATGACGATTCATCGTATGCTGGGCCTCGAACAGTGGCTACACTCTCGCGATCACGCTCTTCTTCACGGCGTAAAGTCTTGTTGGGTAATCCGACGACTCCGTCTTCTACGTTACCAGAGTTGAGCGTAGTGGATACCTCCAGCCCGGATGTGGATTCTTCCACCTCCATAGTTGCCGCTTCCCTTAGGCCAAAACCCAAAATTTCCAAGGTCGACTTGTTTGGCGAAGCTTCTAGCAGTTCGGAGGGTCCGATCAAATTTACGGAAGACGTCCGAGCCCCAGCCAATAATCTGTTGTCTTCGGCCGAGTACAAAGATCTTCCCAAGACTAAGGTGCCTTGCGATCAGTGGATACCCGGATATCACTGTCGCGTACCAATAACTTCTGTTCAAGTTTCACCTTGGTCTGCGTGCCGGGTGAGCTGGATTAGTGTGTTGTAATTGGATTTGGAGTTCTTCTATCGCCATCTTGCCAGGCCCAAGCATTACCCTTTTCCAGCCTCTCCTGCTGTATCGAAAGCACCTCCCATGTTTGAGTGGTCTCCCCACTTGATTTCTTCAGCGCGGGTTGCCGCGCTTTATCGCCAGGAGCCCTGGTTTCTTTGTGCGAGAAGATTGCGCCCATGTCTTTCCAGCCCGTTGGGTGGTTCGAGCAGTTGCTGGACCTATACCACACTTTCGAAGAGTGCTATATCCAGACGTTGTGGGAATCAACCCATACCTTGACCGTTTCTTCTGCCGATCGGGTTAAAGATTCTGGTCTGGCGTTATTCTGTGATCAGCGCAGACAGCGGCGATAGCGATCTGGACCTCCTCGGAAAACCGTACTCAAGTTTATACTCCAAGGAATGGTAGAAGGGCATTGCGACTTGGACATTCTGCTAGACTAGGTTTTCTTGCACCTACCTCGCTTACATGAGAAGCAGTTTTGGTACCCCGGGTTGGGGGCTGGGAAGACTAACATTCCCAACCTGGATTCGCTTTGTCGTTGACGAACTCTTCTGAGCCATGGCGTAATCAGTACCGGAATTCGATCGCGAATCACCCAGGCATGTCAATCCCTCGCCTATCCGGTAAGTTCTTCGCCCCGTAGTCTATCGAGTTCACCACATTTCGTGTTTCAATTTCATTTATTCATACTGTCTTTAACCTTGATCTCTCCGGAAATGTCTTCTACTTCAGGCCCCTTGGGCCGCGATCGTGCTTCGATCGCTACACATACTTACAAACACACCTTCCTCCTTCATACACCGCCCCCTGGTGTAACGTTTTCCACCGTACGACCATGTACAACCTCCTTGCACACTTACACACCCCATCCACCTCGATCGGGTGTAGACTCCTGGCTCTTCTTCGTGCGTTTGCATCACTTCGAACCTATTTCGACTTGTCCGATCGCGATCAAATTCTTGTAATAGAGCGCCACAGTTCAAGTCTGCTTCATCCACCCATGATAGATCGCTATTTACTTTCCATTGAACCAGAAATTGACGGTGTACTCGTCCGTAACGCGTCTTTCGACCCAATCGGACGTCCACAAGCTTTGTCACCTCGAATTCACCATTATCCAACTCGCCTTCCCAGCTATCTTCTGGTAGTAAGGCTTCGTCGAAATCGACCCGATCGGACTCATCTACCTTCAGTTGACTTTATGGCCGCTCTGGGAACATCTTCAATGGCTTTAGCTTGGACACATGTACTATCGGGAACAGCCTATAAGGTGTGCCTACGATATCCAATTTTACTGCACGATCTCCGCACATTTCCATTACTCGAAAGGGTCCGTGCCACATTCGGGCTAACTTCCGAGCATATCCATCCTTCACGCAATCCAAATACAACCACACTTGTGCCCCTTGATCGATCTCTTGCAGATTTCTGTCGTCATTATGACGATCCGATCGGTCCTGGATAGCGATCTTTAACCGATCGTTCACGATTGCTCTTGCCTGTTGATACTGACACTGTTTGTTATATCTCCATCTTCTTGGATCTCGATCGCGAAGTTTAACACTTCCCATTGGTAATGCCGCTTCCAACATCGATCGGGGGTCCCATCCATATATTAGATAAAATGGTGTCTCTCCGCGGACTCGATCTTGTGCGGTATTAATCGCACAGGTTAATCTTTCTGCATATCCATCCCAATCTATCTGATTTTAGTCAGCGACACACATCTTAATCGATCGCGTTAGAGTTTGAAACATGGGTTCTGCAATTCCGTTCGCTTGAGGTCGATACGCCATTGTGGCTCGTTGCTTCTGTCCCGCAATATTGTTGAAAGCTCGAAAGAATTCAGACAAAAATCCTGGCTCCCGATCGTGACGGATAATTTCACTCGCACCACATCTTATAAATTTGCTTTCGTCATAGTTCTCTGCAATCATCTGTGCAGTTTGGGACGAACTCGCTTTTGCGACCACGTAACTCGATAACAGATCGACCCACATCAGCAACTCAGCATTCCCTTAAAACATCGCGGTAAAGATGGGATATAATCCATTGCCGGAATTTGGAATGGGTACGTCGCTTGCAAGTTGCCTAGAGATCCACCCCGATCTTGCGGGCGACCTTTGCCGGTTGTACAATCAATACATTCGCCAACATAGCGTTGCACGCTCCGGTACAATCCTCGCCAAAGGAATTTCGCCCTGATCTGATGGTATGTGCGGCCTGCCCCTTGGTGCCCACCCTATAGACTAGTATGGTAATGGTGTAGGACGTCTTGTTGCAGCAACTCTGGAATTACCAGACGAATCAACTCTCCACGATCTTCGCTCTTTGATGCCACCCCGGGGCAGAAAAATAGCAGTCCACTTTGGTCGACTTCGTAGTCTGGTGGGATCAGTGCGCAAATCTTTGCGTCTCTAGCACTTAGCGTGGCTATATCCCCGATCAGATATGTCTTCAAGTCCGATATCCAGCTTTCCTCATTTTGCGCCTGGTTTAAACGTTCGATCCGGGCTTATTGTACAATTCCTTCTTGTAAAACTGTCTGGGGACATCGTCTTCGCGTCGTTGATCGCGTTCTCGCGGCTACCTTGACTGGGTGGTAAGTCTGTTTTGGTATCAGTAGTTCATTTAACCGATTAAGGGTCACGAGATCGTCTCGTTATTGGTCTGATACTGCGACGTTTCCTTTCCCCTGACGTAACGCCTCGCTCGCTAGTCGATCAGCACTCTGGTTCCAGTCCCGTTTCACATGTAGCAATTTGTGTTTTGGCCACGATCGGAGTTCCTCCATTGCCTTACGTTCAAAAGTTGTAGACCTGGTGCTTTACAGTCGATTTCACCTCGCATTGGTCTTATTATTAAGTTCGAGTCACCACAAAAGATCACCCGACCTCTGATCTGATCGGACAGTGACTCCAGACCCAGCAACAGCCCACGATATTCTGGCTCGTTTACCGTCAAATACTCTACACATTCTAAAGTAGCCACCACGATCGTCCATTCAGGCAACTTCCATATTGTTGCGCTGTAAGCGCCAACTTTCTTCTTTACCCTATCCGCTCCGTCGAAACTGACCACCAGGACACTTTCGTCTACTTCGACTGTGGGTGGTGGCATACTAATGTTTTTCAGTGGTTGTTTCCTTGGAAAGATCGCGATCAGCACTTCATCTACATCCTTTCGAGGTGTTATACTTGCAGCCAGCGTACCTAGCACTTCGTCTCCGCCTTTTTCGCACCGTCTGATATCAAACGTCCAGTTCGATAGTAATGCTGCCCATCTCCCTAGTCTTCCGTTAAGACCCGACGACTTCAATAGCCAAGCCAAAGTCGAGTATCTCGTAAGCACCATAATCTTCCGCGAAACCAACATCGTATAACAAATGTCTAACACTCGGAGGAGGGCTAGCACTTCTTTCTCAACAATTCCGTAATTGACTTCGTTGGATTTCAGCGTGCGACTAGAAACAATGACAGGCCAATACGTGCCGTCATACTCTTGAAGCAATGCGGCTGATACCGCCCACTTACTGGCGTACACCACAATCACCGGTGCTCGATCTGGATCGAAATGTCTTAAGATCGGCGTTAAGCAAATTTTGCCCTTTAGCAAGTTAAAAGCCATCACCGCTTCCTTTTATCGACTTCCATTTCTAGAATCTAGATCGCCCCCTGTTTTTTGGTATAGATCGTCGTCGGACTCATTTCGCGAATCGTGATCACTATCGGGTTCACTGTTGGATATCATTATCCGAACTTTTTTATCTTGGCTGATCTCGTGGAAAGCTGCTTCTCGTAGCTCGTAGAGCACGGACGCATATATAGCGAAGTCTTCGATAAAACGACTGTAGTAATTTAGGCTTCCCAAGAATGATCGCATAGTTTGAGTGAAGGGAATATTCGCAATTGAGTTTAAATCCTTGGGGTGGGCTTCCAACCCTTTGTGTGAAACTTGGTGGCCTAAATAGTCGACCTTACAGCGCCCCCAGAAACTCTTTGCCACACTGATCTATAGGTTCCATCGGTCACACACCTCTAGCAATCGTTCCACCTTTGCTTACAGGGATGACCAGGATTCAGCAGGTATCAGGATGTCATCGATATAGGACCTTCGGCCTAAAACTGATGGTCTTGGATCTGTGTCCGGCACTCCGTCAGTGAACACATCGGTTAGTGTCGACGATGTTGCTGCATGGAGTTAGGTGTTGGGTCGATCTTGAGATAACCATATAGTGCATTGTCGATACGTCGTTGGTATATCTGGAGAGCGTTTTTTAGCCCAAAAGGCATTCGCAACCATTCAAACAAACCCGACGGCGTGATGAATGCAGACATAGCTCTTGCTCGTTCCGTCATTTTCACTACCCAAAAACCACTCGCCATATCTAGCGAACAATAATACATCGCTTTATCCAAGTCTTGTAATAATTCGCTGATTAGTGGCATGGGGTATATCATCAATCTTGTCAACTGATTCACCCTCATGTAATCGATGCACATCCGTTAGTCCTCCCCATTTTTCTTGATAATCACCACGACCGGAGAAGCCAAAGGTCATATGGACGGTTGAATGATCTTGGCTGATAATAATCCCTTGATCAGGTCCGCCAATTTTGCCCGAGTTTAGGTGCCACCGGCCGTACTCTTTGCGCGATCGGTTTGGCACCTCCAACATCAATGTCACATACTGCTCCACGCGCAGCAGGAGGCAAGGCGTT